GTGTAGGTGTGGGGCCCGGCCGTGTGTAGGTGTGGGGCCCGGCCGTGTGTAGGTGTCGGCCCTGTGTAGGTGTGGGGCCCGGCCGTGTGTAGGTGCGGGGCCCGGCCGTGTGTAGGTGCGGGGCCCGGCCGTGTGTAGGTGCGGGGCCCGGCCCTGTGTAGGTGCGGGGCCCGGCCCTGTGTAGGTGCGGGGCCCGGCCCTGTGTAGGTGTGGGGCCTGGCTGTGTGTAGGTGTGGGGCCCCGGTGTGAGTCGGGCGGCTCTGGGCGTGGTGCTCAGTAAGGGGCCTGAGCTGCCTGGTCAGAGAACGCACCAAAACGAGGGGGCCTGGCAGGTGTCTGCCCGACTTCTTCTGGGTGCCCCGCTCCTGTTGGGATCCGGTACCCCAAACTCTTCCAGTTCCCAGGGAGGCCCCTCTTTGATCGCTCCAAGCCCTTGCACCAGCTGTTCCCTCTCCCTGGAATGCCCACCCCCCCCACGCGGCTGTGAGACTCACTCTGCCTCCCTCGCCCCTCCCGGGACCCCCTCACGTGCGTCACCTGTCACCACCCCTTCCTCCTTCTCTCACTCCTGTGTCCACCGCTAGCCTGACACTTGGATGAATGATGGGGGGTCGGGAAGGCTTGGTGGGGATGGAGGCCGGCAGGGTGGGAGGGGGATGCCGCTAAACTCTGGGTTCTGGGACACGTGGAGATTGGCGGAGGGCGGGCGTGGGTGTTGCTGGCGGGCCCCTCACCCTCCCTCTCTGGCCTCAGTCAACCAGGAGCTGGTGCAGAAGGTTCGGGGGAAGGAGCCACTGCTGGTGCACAGCCGCCTGGAGCGCGACGTGGGCGTGCTGCGCCTGTACCCCGGAATCCCCGCCTCCCTGGTAGGCCCCGCCCCGCCCCCCTGCCCACGCTTCCGCAGCTCCCACGCCTGCCTGGCTCCCCAGGGCCCACCTGGCCAGTGCAGACGCCCCTCTTGGAATCGGGCATCGGTGATGGGGCCCCTCCTGGCTGCCCTCCCAGTGCAAATCCTGCCGCGCCCACTCCCCATCACCCCAAGTCCCACCTCAGGCCCAGACGCACAGAGAACAATACTGGAATTCAGCCCCCCAGCGGAGAGGCGTGTTTGTGAAGAGTCAGCCTATCCCTGTTTCGGGCTGCAGTTAGACAGTATCACGAACATGGGATTAGCGAATACCGAACCAGCCTTGTTCGCCCGCGGTGGCGGCGGTGGTGGTGGTGGCGGCGGTG